CCCAGCAGATGCTTCCGCAGTACCAACTGTTCTGAATCCCCCACCCCATCTCCAGCTTTTTTTTTTCCTCCTCCTTCCCCCGTGTCCTACCAATCTAGGCTGCCTGGCACATGCTGCAAGCTGCAGTCCCACTGGAGTGATATTGTGATGGAAATGAGGGAGGGGATGCAGGCAGAACTGCACAGATTTACAGCACTCTAAGGGTTTCCATTAAAATCCTTGACAACTTGTTATTTATGAGTAGACCGACAGCTCTTCTAATATCCAGGGCCTAGACCCCATTCACTTCAATAATGCTGGTTTGGAATAAATGAGCCAGAGGATGGAAACCAGTTCTGTTAGTATAATGGAGGAGGCTAATAGCTGTTTAGAGAAAACAACTGATGTAATTCTGGGACCCAATCCTTTCACCAACAAAACAATAAAGGTTCGATTCTTCAGTGCATTTCACCTAGTGATTTAATTCAGTACAAAGAGGGTGATAAATGGCAGCGTTTGGATTTCGTGCCGTTATATACCCACTAAGCACTCTCTATTTGTACTAGTGCACTAGAGATAAAGGGACTCATTGACTCCTGTGCAAGCAGGAATAGGTCAGTCTGGATCTCCACAGCAGAACAAAGATAAACAATGTGTCCTTACCAAATAATGCAAGCGACAAAAAACCGCTCTGCATAAGTGTAATATTTTCATTTTTCAGTCTCACGGGGGCCTGTGAGCATTTCCTTCCCCAGATTTTTCTGAGCTGCCCCACCTAAACCAGTGTGGCAGTCTGTCTAAGTGTCATTTTAGAACATTTTTTTCCACCGTTCCCCTCTCTGCTCCCTTCCCTTTCCCATCATTGACATGCCAAATACAGAAGCACCTCCACTTACTAAGTAAGCACAGGACCGATCCCTTAAATAAGGACTTCGATGGTCAAAACACTTTAAACCCTAGATGTGCATTATGCTGCTGTAAAGAATTATCGATCTCTTCTGCTGTGTCTTAAAATCAAACTGACAAGTTGACTACCGAGTATAACCACTCAATTGCTGGCTTGTACACGGCTTTCCTTTTCCTCCTTTGTTCACCTGCATCTTGTCTATTTACATTCCTTTTGTCAGGAATCTTTTTATTTCCTTTCAGCTTCCTCTGCCTTCCACGGGAGCCTCATTACGGTGAAGCGAAGAGAAGCAGCAGCAGCGCTCCCAGACTGCATTCTGCGGGGTGAAAGGCAGGGAGAGGCAGCACTGCCGGGTGGACCGTGGTCCATGCCTCTGCCTCCCCCTCGTCCGCACCCCAAACCTCAGCACTGTAATTTCGGAGGAGACTGGCAATGGTGAAGATCCAAATTGTTCTGCAGGAAGAGGAAAAAAGACCTGGATAGATGAAGAGGAACCAGGAGGAGAACGGGTGGAGGAAAGAGGCTGTTCAAGTGAGGAAGGGGACTGTGGCTGTACGATTGGGAATCACTTTCTGAAAGAAGCTGAGCCACTAGTCTGTTATTTCAGCAGCCTTCCAGATACTCTGACTTTCAGGGCTGAAATAGTTTGGGAATCCGGAATCTGTAATCGTCTCCCTTGTGACCAGTCTTTTTTTTCTGCACTGAAAATAACTTTTCCCAAGCAAAACAATGGTCTTTCCTATGAAACGAACTGACATCAGTCGGTATGTGTGACCATAATTAGCAGCGTGTCTTTGCAGCTGGGAGATGTTATCATCTGGTTTGCATTTTACACATACAGAAACATACCTGTTAATTGGAAAATGATGTGCCATGGACAGGGACAGATATATTCAAAATATACTCTGTGTGAATGGGAGAGAAAGCCCAAGGGAAGAACCAACTTCATGGAAAAGGAAGGCAAAGGGACTGACAAAAATGAGGGAGAAGCAAAAGGTCCAAGCAAAGGGAGAAGAGCTCTCTGGGGCTGAGCGGGTTTGCCTGCATCGGAGCAGTGATCGCTCACGGAAAGCAAACTGGGCCAGCTCCTAGGCTGGACCAACTGATAAGCCTTGTAAAGGTTTAAAAAGTTATATATACACAGTGATTTGGCCCACAAAGTATGACTTCTTCCTTTTAGATACATTTCTAATGAATGTCCATTCAGATGCTACATGAGTTCGGGTATAAATGGTGCCAAACCCCTACTGTCCCTTTTGAAAATTTATTTCAAGGTCCTTATCCAATACATATCAATGTAATATTGGATCTTATCCAAAGTATAACTATATCTAATTATCAGCCATCTGAGCTACTTCTGTATTAAACCATAAAATTGAGATAGGATTGAAACCTCTTATGATTCCAAAGGCTAAACGCAGCAGTAACATAAATAATGCTGTAAATTACAAGCAAAATGAAAACTTGGTCAGAAAATATATGATGTAATTTGTGCTTAGGGGTAAATTGGTCCCTGGCTACCCAGGATAGGGAAGGTATGACCTGCATCAGGCCGAAGTATGTGGCTGGGAGTCCGAATCTGTGTCATTATTACAGAAAAAAAATGACATACCTTAAAATACTTCAAAAAGCCAGCATCCTCATGAGATTTATTGCGGTCTGACCCCCTCTGCCGGTCACCCGCTTCCTGCCTGTGTCGCAGGGCCGGCACCTCAACGTAGGCTCTGAGATTTGTAGGAATGATAGGAGCACGCAAGTGGAAAATGACAGGTACCCGTGTAAAAGGGATGGAGGGGCAATTCGGGGGCACCGACACTTGGCACCGGTAGCTCAAGGACATAGATAGCATCACGACATAATTCCAACCCCAGGTGACCGGGTTTGGGGTTAGGATACGAGCCGCTAAAGCCAGTGCTAGCAACGGTGTAGAAAGGAAAGAGGTCTGATAACTGGCATTTGGGTTAACTACCAGGGTTTTAGTAAAAATTGCTTTTGTGTCTCTTCACACTTGATCTGCTTCTGTCAAGAGGCAAAGCAGTAAAAGAAGAAAAATGTAATTTAGAATGAGGAGGCATGGGAAAATGTTGCGGGGGGAAAAGCATTTTCTGGAAGAACAATGGGACTTTTCCTGAGGAAACAAGTGTTCAGGCAAAAATGAGCCTCATTTTGATGGAATGTTCGATTGGCAAAATTGGGATAAAGCTATGCCAGGAATGTTGAGATATACTATAGTAATCAATGATGTCAAAACATGTACAATACCAAGTATTTTTTAAATAATATTTTATCATCCCTAGCAAGGAGGTTTTCAGCTTTTTCTCCTAGCCTAGAGAAAAAAGGTGTTGATACACTGGACGTTCTTATGACACAGAAGAAATTCAGCCAGCTCTAGGTTTTTAGATCAGCACTACTGGGAATGGATATAAACAAATAGAGCCCATACAGCTCTCTTTACTTTCCTGATTCGCTCTCCTTATCCCATACTATCCTTTGGCCTTCATGATGTATTCCCATACTGTGAGGAGCCACTGAGGATCAACCAGTTAAATATGTGCTTTCTGCTAACAGAAACAGTCTCACTACCCGTAGAGATACCCTGTGTGGCGTGCTAGAAGTTATTCAGAGACGTGCTTAAGTACTTTGTTAGACGGAAGCTTCAGCAAGTAAATGAAAGCCTGCAAATAGCTCCCTTAAGACCCTATCAATTCCTCCAATTTATTTCTTTAAGAATGAACAGACATAGACATATTTTTCAAAGATTTTCTCCGTATAGCTTTTATTTTTGTTTGCTGTTATTTTCTTTTACAGGTTTTTTAAATAACACCTTACCAGTATAGTACATCTCAAGACAGAAATACTCTATTTAAACCTAGATTGATAAAAAGTTTGTGTAGAATCAAAACAGTAAAGCATTTCAAAGTCTTTGTTACTCTAAATATTCTTAAAACTCTATGTAAACGTCTTAGGATTCTCTATTGCTTCAGATATTCAGCAAGAAACGCAGTCTAATACAGCTGGATAATAAACCTTTCCCCTTATGTGTTTGCATGGAAAAAAGAGCTGTTAATCATAAATTGAAAATCCTGAAGCAGAAATAAAAATAGTAACTGGATCATCTGTGCACAAAGCATTGTAATATCCCAAGGCACTTAGTTTTGAATCACAATGTTTTGGTTTGAGAACAGGCTCTTCTTGTTAAATCAAGAAGGTTTAGAAACATAAAAGAGAAATAATCCAAATTCATATTTCCTTTAAATGCGGATGCCCAGTTTCTGACTGAGAGACCATTTATCCTCTGTGCTGCCAAGACAACTCAGCTACTGCTTTTCTGTGGGCTCCACATCATACCGACCTTCCCTGTTTCAGAAATTTCAGGTTTTCCTCATCATGAGATGGATGGAGAAAACAGTGCACGTGCCTCACCCTAGAATAAGCCACGCTGCCTACTTTGCTGGAAGGACGGCGCTGGACCTTCAGATCTGCAAACAGATATTTGGTCTCTTTATAAATATGTCTCTTTCACTTGCTTCACGACTGATGGTGAAAGAAGAGATGTATTTTTATTTAGACTTTTTTACTTATTAATAATAAATTCTGCATTCCAGAAACTGAGCAGGACTGAAGGTGTGATCCTCAAAGATTATAAAATGTTTCTGGTCTTTGGTTAGCAATCACAGTGCTATATTAAAGAATAAAACCATCATAATAGAGATGTATCAGCCAAGTAGAGAAAACTGCTGTACTACATCCCATCACTTGGATCCCTGCCTGAATGAACAGTTACATGGCCAATCTTGTTCTAAAGAACTGGTACCACATTCAGCTAAATTACTAATTATAGGATTTGTAACTCATTTAACAAGCATATATACTTGATCCAAGACAGAGGACTTAAGTTTGATGACGGTGATTCAGTTTCAGGCTGTGGATGTCTGACCTGATTTATGTGTTGGTCATATGCTGCATGGAACAGAAAGCTCAGAATTACAGTACTAGTGGCATAGTCAGTCTTGTCTGGGTGATCTTAACATGAATTAAGCCTATACAGTGATTTTGGTCTATTCTATACTGCGGCCTCTGGCACCTATTCTACAGAGCAGACACGAATTCAGACTTATTCCAGGCCATGACAAAAAATATGGTCATCAAACACCTGCTTATTGGACTTTTCAAAGCTTTCACTGCAGAGTGGACACTCCAGAAGATGGCTCTGCACATGGGCCTCATACTGACTTGTTTCAATATCTTCAGGAAATACTTCATCGCACATGGGGCATTTCCTTATAGAAGCCTGAAAAAGCAAATGCAAATAAAGTCAGTTTAAAAATTATATTCAAAGAGAAGAAACAGAAGAGTTTAGTAGCCGGATATTATCACTTTTGGACACGTCTTCCGACTTCTAACACTCTCAAGTTTTCAAATGTCTCCAGGCTTCTCTAAATAGCACTTAAAATTCAAGAGCTTCTGAGAGGTACTCTAACTTTCCATCCTACGTAGCACATGTCCATGTCTCCAATAGGAAATAAGGTATTTAGCAGCTGAATGCTGCTCATTCTGCCTGAGATGCTGCCAACAGCTGGTCCTTAAAGATTAGGGTCAACAGAATTTCCTTTCTCTACCTTAAGACATATAACTCTCATTAATTCTACATGTTAAGCATACATGGGTCCATTTTGTTGTCCGCTATCTTACCAGGACTAAACCAGTATGTAGACAATTGGCTCCAGAGCTGAACTTGGAGCTTTTTATTTCAAACCACTAATTCATGTCCATAAACCACTAATTCATGTCCAGTCGTGTCCATTTTACTTACTACGCCTGCAGCTCGTGCCCCCAGGTTTGCTCCTGCAGCTGGAAAAAGAAGAACTCAATTTAGCTACAGCAAAATGATTAACAATGTAATGTGCTGATAACTAGTAATTCTTGAAACATGAGGATGTGGCTCTGGATCTAAACCTCTATATTTAGGACTATGGAAACTGGACATAAGCCACAGAACTAGCTGTCTCACAGCTGAATAAACTAGCTAATAGTTGTCTGTCTTGGCAGAAAATGAACAGACAGCTGATCACTTAAGTCAACTCGTAACACCTGGCAGCATTTTGCAGCTGCCAAGTCATCTGCACACATGCAAAGCTGCACAGAGGTGCTGCTAATAATGTCCTTTCTACAGCATTCAATTTGAGAGGGAACATAATTTGCTGAGGCTCTAACTGCCGTGAATTTGCGGTTTAAGACAGAATGCCAAGTAATCTCACCACAATATGGATTTCCAAACAGAAGGCCTCCTGCTTCACGAGCTGGAATTGAAGCTTGAGCTTGTGAAACAACAGAGAAGGAAGAAACCTCTCTAGCCTGCGAGAGATGCCTCAGGAGTCCATCATTCTCTTCCCTAAGTTTCTGCAAAGGGACAAAAGGGCAGAATGATTTTCCAGAAGCTCAGGAGACCATTTCAGAGAAAAGTCATGCTTTGCACTAACATAGATCCTCTTATATCAGAATCAAAATTGCTCTGAACTTCTTGTAGGTAGCTCAGTGTTAGTCCTGCTTGACCGAATGGGAAAGTGAGGTAAGGAAGGGCAAGGATCTATTCTGTGGCCTGCTCAGAAAGGCAGAGAAGGTGATCACAATAGAGTAACACACTTTAAAAGACAAGACTATCCTGAAGTCATGCAGAGTAGGGAACAAAACTGAGCAGTCATTGCTTAGACTGGACAAAAAGGCTATGTCCATTTAAACGAGTAAGCCCGCTCATTTCAGTGGTGTCAGAATTAAGCTAACATTAGGAGTTTTTGAAAATCCGCATGCTATTATGGGTAAAGCAGTCTATTCTGTGGTGGGGGGAGAAAGGTGCAAGTTTTTGGACCCTTCCTCTTAAGCTGTACAGTCGTGGCAGCAACAACATACTGTAAGTGTACGCACACAGACGTTTGTACGTAGACCGCCTGGCAGCCTGGCTTTAGGTGACGGTCCCCATGCAGGCACAATTAGTGATCCGTTTGGTGGAAGGGTTAATGGAACTGAACACTAGACTGGGAGATTGGTGTCACATTCAATACAGGAGAAAGGCGAGGGAGTTGTGCCAAGTTCTCACCCGATTTTCCTCATCAGCTTCATTCTTTTTTGCCTGCAGAATCTGAAACAAACGCTTCTGCTCCTCAAGTTCTTTCATTAAGTCACAGTTCTGTTGCTGTGAAGGAAAAGGGTTACTTGGTAAATCATGGGAAACTGGCAAATAAAATGATGACAGCTCCAAGCACTGGAGCTGTCATATACTAGCTACCTCCTGCTGCATTTATTACCAACAAATAAACCTTCAGCTTCAGTGGGAGTCTTACCATTTCATAGTTTGTCACCTAGGATATCTCCATGCCACCACTCACTTATGCTCTGTATTTTCATTACAACATGCGAGATGACACATGACCTCTGAAGGGGACATATGACAGGTCAAACAAAGAGGGAGGTTGAAGAAAGGAACGCATACAGCTGAAAAATCCACCCTGGCAGGTGAGAGCTCTCCAAGTCTGCCAGGTTTCCTGGTGCTGTGAGACTTGCATTGACAGTGGATGGCCAGCACATCCTTAGGCATTAATCTTATAGCTGACTCTTGAATTAAATCAGTAAATTAGATAAGCTAGAGCACTTAGGGATTCTGCAGTCATTCTCAAAGTATCACTCTAAGAATCCTGAACATTTGGCATCACAGCGGAGGTAATCACATCATCTATTTTAGGCATCTAATTTTCAGTGCCAAAGTCAGAGTAGAGCCTCCAAAAGCTTCCTGAGTAGCACATACAGAGAGAGAAGCACCTTTAGAAGGTCACTCAGGGCAACAGGCTAAAGATGATGTGACGGCCTCAGTCAATGCCAATGATGGTTTCTTCAGTAGAAAGAAATGCCACAGCATGCTGCCCTTTTCTTTTATATCCTTCACATTCCTTCAAGGAGTGATTTCCAATGCTGAGGTTTGTGGATTACTTCTAAAAGGTCTGCAGAAGTTACCTAAGAAAAGCAAGCCTTTTGTCCATAAACTTAGATTTGTTATACATATAGTCACTGGCAACATCACAGGGGAATCGTGATGGTTCTGCAAATTGAAAGAAGGTGGAAAAGAGTGCCGTCGGTGACTCTCAGCTCCCCTGCACAGGCACCCGCAGGTTCCACACAATACAGCAGAGCTCTGTGCTCAGCATTGCTGGGACCATCTCCCCAGCTGCATCCCCAGAAATGCTGGGCACCTGCTCATTCTGCAGACAGTGGGACAGACAAAGTGAGAGTTTGGCCTCCGTCCCCTTCAGGTATTCCATGCAACGTTCAGGCTCCTTATTTTGCTCTTTCTGCACAGAAGTCCCAGATTTTTACAAGCAGAGTTGCAAAGAGGTGTCAGAGAAGGATGTGGGGCAGAGCACCAAACTACAGAACAGAAACTTTGTATTGTTTACAGCTTATTTTGGTGCATTCTGAGCATATTGCATCTATTTTATCGATTATTAAATGCTAAATTTAAGATATTAAGGATGAGAAAGAGACAAAAACATCAAAAGAAAAAAGACCAGCCAGGTTGCTGCCTCACAGCAATTACTAGTCAGCTTCCTGTTGGAGGTAAAATTAACAGCGTGTAGTCTGGGCAGATTTACGATAACTTGTTTTATTTACCCGTAAGTCCCGGTCCTGAAACAGTTTTGCTTAGATGCAACCATTTGCAATCAGCCAAGTATCAATCCTGAATTCCCACTGATTTCCTTTATCCCTTGAGCTGACTCAAAAGAGATCAAGACAGAGACAGAATTTTCCTGCTACAGAGAATCAGAATTACAATGTCTAGTTATACAGGCATTTCTTCCAAAACTAAAACATATGTGTATGCTATGAGAATATATGTATACTATGAGAATCTGTCAGATGGTGTGTCCACAGAACCACCTATGTGGACACCCATGCCACCATGGACATTTCTCTTTCTGTCATGGAATCCCCTAGGATTCTCGTAAGATTGAGCAATATTTGTACCTGCTGACTGCCAAGGATGCCTCAGCCGCTCGCCCTGGCTCCCCCAAGCACCGTGATACTCAGGGAAGGCTTTACCTGCTGAGTTCTAGTCATGCGTAACTGGCGATTCTCTTCCTTTAAGCTTTCAAGCTGCTCTGTCTTATCGTGGTCCATATGAGACAGGTTTTCCACTTCTTTCTCATAATTCAACACTTGAGACTAGAGAGAAAGACGGGTGTGCAGAAAGTGAAAATCAAACAGCTCCGAGTGAGGAGCACGGGCACCTCTTGCTGCAGAAGGCAAAGCTCCAGAACCCGTGGCTGCTTAAATTTTTTTTCTGCAAACATTTTTCCATCAAAACCTTTATAGAAACCGAGAATAGTTACATGGGGGTATACTGGAGCTGATGTATTCATCAGAACACAGCCTTCATTCATACGTTCTCTGAGGAGCTTTCTAAGTTTCAGCATGACACTTCCAGCCTGGGAAGTCAGAGAACAAAGAGAAAAACAGAGACTCTACAGGCAGATGGTTTGCCCATCGTTCTGGGTCTCCCATGTAGCTATTTTCAGTCTACCTTCTCCCTTCACATATCTCCCAGCTAGAAGTCTTGTTTTCACCCAAGTATTGAACATAATTTTAGAATGTTTTTCAAAACAGAAGTGTTTTCTGTCTGGATCCTTAGCTAGCGGGAGATAAACAACAGTCTGATTTTGGTCAACTTAATGAGCATGCAAAGGGGATGTTTTTAGGGAATAAAATCCTTACAGTTTCTCTTAGCACATCCCCCTCTACCCTTCCGTCCATAACACAGATTTCTTGAGGTTTCCTGGAGGTCAAATCATATCAAAGGTTGACATTTTCCTGAAGAACTCATGCAATCAAAAAAGAAACTCATACACCACATATTTGCTCAAGATTGCTCAGTTCTCTGTCAGAGGCAAAGCAAAAGAGGGCAGCTATATGTTTGCTACCTGCAGCTGGTCCAAGTGATCCAGGGCTGCTTTCAGTCGGGTTTCCAGGCGTTCCTTGTCAGAGGTCACATTCTGAATTTGCTCTTTGAGTCTACTCAGAACAAATCAAAACACACCATACTTTCACGGATGGAAATTTAATCCATAAAGGCAAGGTGCTTACATGAAATCCTGTTTTGAGATATGCTGTAAATACACTTACTGGTGTAGTTCTGCCTCTTTGGAGTCATCCAGTTCCTTTAGATGTTTATTTTCCTTTTTCAGGGAATTCAGCTCCAGCTCCAGTTTCTCTGCGTTGCTCCTCAGAGACTCTAAACTATTCTGAAGCTCCTGAAAATCACAGTGAGGTCAACAGGAGGTAAATGGGACCCAAGCAATAGTCCTGCTCTGCACTGGAACTGCAAAATCCCTCAAATGCAACATTTCCAGCCAGCCCATCTGAAGGAGGGAAATCTCTCCTTTGCATCCTGACTACTCTTTCAGACCTTTTTCAATTTATATTAAGCCCTGAGCAAAACTGAAGGAGGAAAAGATAATGATAATGTGATTCTGGGACAGCCTACAAAACATTTTTGAACACTCCCCTTCCCGTATGTTCCCGACTTCTGTGCCTGCTGATGCCTCTTGTTCATCATTACTGTTCTTATCACAGTAGAGGTGGTGTACAATTTGGTAAAGGATTAAACAGATAATATGGGGAGAAACCTCTTTAATTTTCTCCTGGAAGCATACAGTGGAACAAGACCTGACTCAGGCCCTCTTCATCTTTCAGACTTAAAGCTTCTGACTTCTTATATTAACTTTTTTGTTTACCTGTGTCTTGTTGAGCTCTTCCTGCAGATCGATGTTTTGTTTCTGGAGACTTGCACAGCTTGCTTTCAGCTCCTCATTTTCTTTATGCAAATTTTTGTTTTGTAGTTCAATCTCTTCCACTTCTCCCTGGCAAGCAATAAAGTTGTTCGGTCATAACAGAAGCACTGAAAAGCTACATTCCAAATAGCACAGTGCGAAGAGGAAAGAAAGATGAGCTCTGCCAAAGGGAACGCCGTGTACCTCCCCGTGCTTTCACTGCTAGCACAGACCAGGCTACTTCGCTCTCCCCAGTCCGTCCAAAGCTGACCATCAACCCAGTTCTTGAATACCGAGCACATACGACCCCTGATCTTTGGAGATGCTCAATGCTTTCTGCGTCCACAGAAGTCAGCAGAGGCAGAGGTTTGGGGCTTTTTTGTTTGTTAGATTGGGACCATGTGTGCAGTGTAGTCATTAACAAAAGAGCTGCACACAAGACACAGCACCTCAGTTATTGTCCATGTGCATGCTCTTACTCCCAGCTAATGGGAGACTGTTTCCATGAAAATGACATTTTCGTTTAAGAATATTCAAAAGGCCCTGAAACACTAGGTATTAAGTCGCCCCCATGACAAAGAGCTCACAATCTAAGTGAACTGGTCTCATAAATGGCGGGTAGAGAAACAAAGGCTGCCCAAATTTGTGTGACAGACCAGTAGCAAAGCCAAGAATAGAATCCAAGTCTGCTGAGTTCTAGCTTGGCATCCGATTTACCGGATCACTCCATGTTAGCAATGAGCACATGCCAATAAAAGCAGAGGCAGGAAAAAGCAGAGAAGAGAGGACACATACCTGTGTGGTAACCACCAGGATATCATCCTCAATCTCTGCTCTGAACTGGAAAGGCACACTGGCTCCCCGGACCACGCCATCCTGGTCGACGTAGCAGAACTGGTAGTATTCATCATCTTTCGGTAGGTAGTAAGCTTATGACAAACACAACAACCCTGTCATATGCAGCTTCTAATTATTCAAGTCTCTTAACTATAGCACGGAAAGTGAGAACCTCAGAAAACTGAGACATCCTAGTTCAGTATTGTTCCTGCACCATTAGTAATTCCTTGTGCCAGTGATAAGAATACAGTATCACTCAGTCAGGACGGCAGAATTTAGCAGATTCGACATTTTGTCATTTATTATGGGATTTGAAATAAAGTCTCCCAAAGCATGGTCCTACAGATATTCTGTAATTCCGAATGTAGCGCTTATTGGTGGCAGCAATGCGGGAGGCTGTGTGTGCGTGCCTCTGTGTGCACACACATCCCCTGAGTGACCCAAGCTCCCCACGCACCTTTGAACTGGATCTGTTGCTGCACAGCCGCATCACTGTGGGCGTCACTGGGCAGAGGAGCCCACATGAATGTGTAATATTCCCGAGTTGTTTTCCATCCCACCTGCAACAGCAAAATTGTTATATGGCATCACACAGTTCATGCTTATCCTATGGTAATGGGACTGTATTTCCACATAGACCAGTTACTGGGAGGACTTTTGCATTGATATCGTGACTTCTAAGAGTTTGGTCTATGCATGAAAGGATAATCAGGGTGTTTGATTAGGCTTGAAGCTGTTCGGGTCACAACAGGTCTGGCACTTTGTCCCTAGGCACAGTAAAGATGTTCCATTACACACGGTTATTACCGAAAAAAAATCCCCAACCCTGTTCTATAAAAGCCCAAGCTATTTGTTTCTGCCTGCTGCTGCCTTCTCATACTTGGCACATCTGGTTTCACAGTATTCACTCACCCGGAAGATGCCCACCCAGTCCTTCCCGCGAGGAACGATGTTCTGCGTGAGGGTGTAATAACAGGTTATGTCTCCTCCGGGGACATAAAACTTCTCCACATTGTTAAAGACGACCTGGGAGAAGTGGCAGTTGTCTAAGAGGACGGCAGAAGTGGGAGGCTCGTCTGAGGTCTCATCCATTGTGGAAGTCTACAAGAGGAAAGAGTAAGGGGATTATCTCATCTTTGGATGCTGCCATCATCGTTGTGTCTGTGAAGGGCATGAAGAGGTACGGCTTGGGAGTGACAGAGCTGTGAGGTCCAAAACCCCCTACGCACACACCAAGGTTTCTCAGCAAGGCACATGAGCTCACTGAAGCCCCTGCCGCTGTGGCCAGGCTGCTCCTGACATCCCCAGCAGCTTGCAGATCCTCTTTAGCAGACGTCTGTAAGACTCTCTCATCCGACCGCTGCTTCCCAGCCATGTGCCTGGTGCTCTGAGGCTGCCAGTGTGGCACAGCAGCCTCTCTCCTGCGTGGGACCCCACGAACCAGACCCGCTGACTATCCTACAGATCCGCTACACGGCAGTGGTGCCATGCAGCAGCAGGAGCATGCGTGCCTGCTGGTGGGATCCCATGTTTGAAGACCCTGCTGGAACCCACATGCAGCCTCACATCATGTTTTTCATGTGATTTGACACTCCAGGCACATCCCCACCATATGTAGTTAATGTGGGGGGTGCATCAACTCTTCTGAGGTCTGGAGACTAGCACATTGCTTGAGAAGAACAGAGGTTTCGCTGCATCAGTGAAATGCTCCGACAGTAGTACAAGACAAAAATAGCAGCTTACAACCTATCGTGCTAGGAACTCCAAGACTCGTGCAGTCCCAGCCCTAACACACTCCACCTTCACTGGCTGACAGTGGTGAGACACACAAGACACACTCATGCTGGTGACAAGCAAACTCAACAGTCTCTCCGTCTTCTGCGTTCAAATCCAACGCAATGACTTGACCTCCAAATACAGTATCTTTCATCTTCAGCTTCCTGGCTCCAAGGGAAGAGAGGTACCTTGCTAAGCTCAGCTCCCATGGAAGAGCACGAATGGAGGAGATCCTGGTTAGGCAGGTCGTCGTAGTTCTGTCTCGTTAGCCTGTGTCATGAGGCTATTATAGCCTTGCTACTCGTGACTGTTACGCTGCAACTGCAAGATGATTCTCAGTATCGAAATGAATACGTTGCATAACAGCAGGGTCAACAAATAGCATTAAAGCTTTTGCGTGAGTTACCTCTACAGAAAACTTTGCAATGCGTTGTGACACTACAGATCACACAACATAAATCTGTAGTGGGTGCGTCGATCAGAACAGTATCCAAACTGCCAGGAGCCTAGGCAGGGCTGGAAAAGGAACGCTAAATCACCCTCTTTGTCACTACGTCTTGCAGGCAGCCAGGCTTCAGCCCTGGCAATCTGTCAAGGGGCAGATCACTGCTGACAAAACCCTGCCGCCAATCCCGGACAATTCAATTCCAGGAATCCAAAGCAGAACCTTCTCAGCTGATCTTAGTGACAGCAGCAGCGAGCAAGGCTTGACCTCAGAACGGAGGGAAAGTTCATCATGAACGATCATCCCACTGAAGCATTTCAGAAATCTCCAATCCAGAAGTTTCATATGGCAATGAACTCCCTGGAACCCTGCTTTTTTTTTGGCATCACTCAAGAGATCGTCTGTATTCTGTGCCAAAGAACAGAAAGAAAATCAGGCAGAAGTTTAGATGGGGATTGCGAGGCTGTGCTCGGAAAGGAAAAGGCATGCACAGCTGGAAAGAGCAGTGATAACTGCACTGACACAGCCTGCCTCGGGAGGACGGAGAATTCCTCTTGCTGGGAGCGGGAAGCAGGGCAGACCCTAGACATGGATGAGGTGCAACTCTCCAGGACAATTCATCTAAGGCTCAATCTTTATCTGGCTGATGTTGATCTTTCCTACCCTGATGTGCCTTATTATTTGCAGTTCCTGAACACCAGGGACCTCTTGAGAGCCACCAGACAGAAAAAAAAAGAAAATAAATCTAAGGAGAGCACCTTAATCATGTTACCGCATCGCTTCAGGACAGGACACGAGTCCTTGCTGCCACAAGGGTTAAAAGTAACTTGCAAAGAAAATGAAGAGTCAGTGCCTGGATGCAGCAAAACAATGCATTCTGCTGCAAAAAAAAGATGTTGGTTTTGGTGAAAATAATTATGATCTTGAAGGAAAACAAACCCAGATGCCGTGCAGAGTGCGTGGATGGCAGAGTCTGCAGCTCGCTTCCAGGAAAAGACGACAGGAAGTAGAGAGGGGAGGACATTTTATTAAAGTTCACATTTTTGTTATGCGAACAGCTCCTAAGTCACCAGCGAAGGCAGAGGAGGCCCTGCGAGGCCGCTGCCGCCCGAGGGGACGGGGATAGCCACACCGCCGGGGTGTTAATGACTAACGGGCAGTCCCAGCCCGGGGCCGAGGTAATGAGGTATCGTTACAGCTCACCCCGAGCACAGCGGAATAAATTACGCTTCCTCCGGTGTTCACGGCCCAGCCTTTCTCCAGGGACTTTCTGGGTTTTTTCCTTTTCTTTCGCTGTTGTTTTCTTCTTTCGTTAACCTGCAGCGCCGCGAAGATGTAGAAAAACACGGATTCCTCCTTCTCAACTGAGACCAACTTCCAGCCGCGGCTGGAGACCGAGGCCGGGATGCACCGGGC